GCTAAGCTTGGCACAGCCGAGGGCAATTGGGCCGACGATCTCCTAGAAGTTCTATGGGCATATAGAACAACTCTGAGGACCTCTACTTCAGAAACACCTTTCTCATTAGCATATGACTGCGAAGCAATAGTCCTAATTGAAGTAGGAACTGGTTCACTTCGGAGAGAATTCTACAATCAATCAAACAATGAATCACTTATGTGTACAAGTCTGGACTTAGTTGAAGAACACTGCAATAAATCTCAGTTAAGGATAGCTTTCTACTAGCAGTGGGCAAAAAGATTCTTCAACTCCAAAGTCAGAAGAAAAGACTTCTAGGTTGGCGACTTGGTCCTCAAAAAAGTCATTCTCAGAACAAAGGAACCAAGCATAGGGGTATTGGGGCCTAACTAGGAAGGTTCATATCGTGTCACTAAGGTGATACGACCTGGAACATATCATCTCAAAAGGCTTAATAATTCTAAAGTACCGTGAGCTTGAAATGCTAAGCATCTACGCCCTTGTTATCAGTAATTCCAAACTCTTGTATAGCTTATGTGATCTACTTTACTTGTAAATTTTTCTTGTAAATATCATGAATAAGATTATCCCATTTCTTCTTCAAGAATTACTTGTGTCGTAATCTCAAGTTTTAATAATCTTATTACTTACAATGTTTTACAAGTTTTATGATAAGAAAAGCTATATTTGTTTTGTGAAGTACTTAAACTATAAAAGTGCTATCACAAATGCTCAAAAGTTTATTTATATATTTTCAAAATATGTATATGGACAGCCATTGAGCTACAAAAGAAAGCGAAAAGAAATAAAAAATACTCTTTGAGAATAAGTTGAAGAGAGGTTTATCATTTGTCTTGAACTTCAAGATCCCTGACTTTGGTTGCTACGACCTCGGGGTCGGTCGCTTGATCTTCAGGGTTTTCTGTTTCTTGTTGATCTTCCTCTTGGGTGGATTCTCGATCTTCCTGTTTGTCCACAGATTGCATTGATGTAAGCGTTATCTAATACTCTTCAGGAAGGTTAGAAATATCAAAGTTTGGATTGTTCAATCGTAAGCTATGAATAACTTGCAATGCCCAATGACTAGTTTTTCTTTCCATCTCACTGTTCAGTTGCTTCATCTGCTCTATCAACGAAGTGATTCGCCTATGAGCCATCTCCAGCTCTATGTCTTCCGCTTTTATTTTCTTTTCTGTGTTTTCCCACAGCTCAGTTCTCTATTGCCTTCTCGCGATTTATGCTCTCTTACAGCTCCTTCTCTCTTTGATTCAAATCTTTGGTGAGCTTCGTTATTGTCAACTGGAGCTCTTTGGTGTCGTTGTCCTTCTTTTGAAGCTCATGTTTCTGGAACTCTACTATTCACCAAGCAAAGTCCTTTTCTGCCAGATATGTGCTTGCTTGAACCTAAGCATTGCTTACGACTTCGTTGAGGTCGCAAGGGATTGCTTCGATTTGGCAACCTCCTCCTTCATTTCATGAAGTTTTCCACTAGAATTGATCCTCATTTTGTTGTGAGCAATGTTCAGGGCAAACAGAGACTACAAAAGAAAGGGATAAAGAGTAATTTTTTTCTTTTAAAAAAAAAAAAAGCTAAGGAGTTTGACCAATATAAAAGAGTTTACAAGGAGAAAGGTTTGTTTTACCTGGCTTTGCATTTGGAGTGTAGTGGCCACTACGTTAGAATGACAAGAGGCTATGTACCTCTCAAAGGTTGATGCCAATTGGCACTCCAGAACAGTGAAGACCACCGGCCTTAGATGCTTTGGCATCTACCCCAAAAAGTCTAGCATAGATTGATCTCGACCTTCTATGGTGGGGACTTCTTCGTTTTGCTCGTGACCAACTTCTTCTTGAATGGTCAGACCTTCTTTCCCTTACGAATGACGCCTTTTGAGGCGACCTTCGAGGTAGGAAGTTGGATAGGGTGCAGCCCGCCTGACAATATTCCGAAGTCATCTAACTCAGACTTAGATGCTTCGGTTGTTATTGTTTTCCTTTTCCTCTAGGCCATGGTTTTCTTCTTCATTGGGCAAGCAACAACAGGCTGGGGAGCTTCTTCATGTTGCTCAACAATTGGTTGTCTTTCGGCACTAGTGATAATCCTAGGATTATACTATATTTTCTATACTTTTTGGTAGGATTTTGGATACTTCTTATTAAGTTTTGTGCCTGAATTGCAACTTAAATTCGTATATTTTAAGTTTCAAGCCAAAACATGTAGTTGGACCAAAACCGAGCGAAATTGAGTTTCTAGACCCGAAATCAAGAGAAATTCAGGAATCGGGGGAATTTTGATGCGAATTGGAAGCACTATGAAGCTTGTTCCTATCAGGGATCATGAAGATCAAAGACTCAAGTGAAGAAGCAAGCGGAGGGCAGTTTCATAATTACAGAAAAGTTAAGCAAAGCTCATCGCGGCAAAGATAATTCGATGTCATGGCAAGCTAGGCTTGGGTTAGATGGTTTAGCAAAAATTCAACTCGATGCCGTGGTGAAAGTTATTCTTTGCCGCGACGAAAACTACAAATTTTCTGTTTGTAAAACGTTGCATTTTAATTGTATTGGATTAGAATCCTAGGGTTTTGGCCAACTATTTAAGAGAGCCTTAGCTCATTTTGTAGGGAGTTCGTGATATTTAGGAAAGAAAAGGGAGAAATTGGAGATTGGAAGCATTTTGGGTTTTCAATTAGGGAAGATTTCATTCTTTTCTTACTGTTTTAGCATGTTGAACTCTTTATTTATATTATATTTTCTGATTTTCTTTAATTTGAATATGAACTAACTCACTTTTGGGTTAGGGTTTTGATCTAACTTAGATTACAATGGTTTAATCTGTAAATAGATGTTGTTGTTAAGTTCTATTGCTTGGATTTTGTATTTATTCTTGTTCTTATTGCAATTGAATGTTGAGTTTTCTTTGGTTCAATTAAATGTTTAGCATGATGAGACTAAGAAGTGATTCATGTGTTAGCCTCTTAGAGTAAATACCATAGATTAAATGAATGCTAGAGATAGGTTCAGAGATCTATGAAATCACTTTAGGATTCCATTTGGCTTAATAGACGTGGAACTGTTAATCTTCATTTTTATTAGGTGCGGAAGCTTAATAGGGATAAGTAGGAGAGTATAGCCTAATGTAGTAACTCTTTCTAGCTAGTATACTTGGGAAATATAATATGTGGGTGTTAATCCTGAGAAGGTATATTCTACAGAATAGGGTGTTCGATTTATAATCCTTGCATGCGAGTTTAAAGGCAACATCAATCGTAGATTAAATTAGAGTAACCTAGTGAAGTCGAAACCCTAACCTCTTTGTCTTAAATTGATATTTTCATAATTAGTTGATATTTTCTTAATTAGTTAGATTTTACTTTACGTTATTGATTTTGTGTAAATTACTGCTTTTATTGTCTCTCGCAAATCCAACAATCTTCATGCTCTTCAACTAGTTACAAAACTAGGAAATTTAGTACTTAACACGCAATCCTTGTGGGAACGATACTCTTCTCATCATTGTATTACTTTTACGACTAGTGCACTTGCTACACATTTCATGTTGTCAAATCACACGTCAAGTTTTTGACACTGTTTCTGGGGATTGATTTAGGGTTAATTTTGAAGTTTTCTAGTTTTCAGTAGATTGGAGTTTTATTTTTGTTTTAATTAGATTTAGTTTAATTTTGTGTTTTTTTTCATTCACTTGTGATCTCACGCTCTCTTTCTGTCTTGTGTAGTCTACGCAAAGAGCAAGACAACATCAAGTGGTTCCCATTGATTCAGGGATAGAAAGAATTGTCAGAAGACTTATCAGAGAGAGAAGAAAACGAGAAGTAATAGTCATTGAAATAGTTGAAAATAGAACTTTGAGGGAATTCTCAGTGCCCTCAGTTGATGGTAGTGGTCCAAGTATCACTAGACCATCGGTGCAAGCTAACAATTTTGAAATAAAGCCAGAAATCATCCAAATGATCCAACAATCAGTAGTATTTGGGGGAGATGCAAAGGAAGATCCAAATTCACACATTGCAAACTTCTTAGAGATATGCGACACATTTAAGGCAAATGGAGTGTCAGATGATGCCATCAAGTTAAGATTATTCCCCTTTTCATTGAGAGATAAAGCAAAGGGATGGTTAATGACACTACCAATAGGAACAATCGCCACCTGGAATGAATTGGAACAACGGTTCTTGACTAAATACTTCCCACCAGCAACATCTATAAAGATGAGAAACGATATCACATTATTTCCATAGAAAGTGAACGAGTCACTTTATGAAGCATGGGAGAGATATAAGGAACTGCTGAGAAAGTGTCCACACCATGGTTTGCCTATTTGGATGCAAGTCCAAATCTTCTATAATGGTTTATTCATAAATGTGCACACAATGGTGGATGCAGCATCTGGAGGAGCATTGTAAAACAAGACATCTGAAGAAGCTTATGAGTTACTTGAAGTCCTAGCAAGTAACAACTATCAGAGACCCAATGAAAGAATTCATCCAAAGAAGTCTATAGGTATTCATGAAGTTGATGCTTACACAACCATTTCAGCCCAACTAACAAAACTTCAGAAACAATTAGGAGGTATGCAAGTAAATTCAATTCAAACACCTTAAGTAACATGTGATTTTTGTGCAGGTAATCATGTGAACATTGAATGCTAAGTGGGGAACAATTTTGGTTTAGCGTCCTCATCATCAGAACAAGTCAACTATTTGGCTGGGAATCAAAGACAACAGAACAATCTTTTCTCCAACACATACAATCTTGGTTGGAGAAATCATTCAAACTTGTCGTAGGGCAATCAGAATAATCAATGGAATCAAAGAACAATGCCAAACAATCAAGTAGGGGTGAACCATCAACCATGGGATCAAAGAGTGACGAAATTGGAGGATATGTTTGAGAAGTTCATGCAAGAGACCATAGGTTTTATGAGTGAGATGAGAGTGAATTTCAAAAACCAAGGGGCGTCGATTTGAAACTTGGAAGTACAAATGGGTCAAATAGCCAAAAAGTTGAATGAGCAACCTCAAGGCTTCCTACCAAGTAACACAGTGACAAATCCACGTGAACAAGTAAATGCAATAACTTTAAGAAGTGGAATAGTCTTGGAAGAGGTTGAACAAAAAGGGAAAGATGAGAACCCACCAAAAGAAAAGGAAGAGTCCGATGAAGAAATCGAGGAAGAAATCATTGTTGAGGAGAAGCCAACAAGTCCTATAAAAGAAGAATCAAAGAGGGAAAAGATGCCAAAGCAAAAGAAGGAAAAATTGCCATTTCCTGAGATACCGCCGAAGTTGGCACATCATACCCCTCCTGTTCCTTTTCCTCAAAGGCTTAGAAAACAAAATCAGGATAAGCAATTCACGAAATTCCTTGATGTATTTAAAAAACTGCACATTAAAATTCCTTTTGCAGATGCCTTGCAACAGATGTCAAGCTATGCCAAGTTCCTTAAGGAAATTTTGTCAAACAAAAGAAAGTTGGAAGAGGAAGAAATAGTGATGCTTACAGAAGAGTGCAGTGCTATTCTGCAAAAGAAGCTACCACCAAAACTCAAAGATCCAGGGAGTTTCACTATCCCTTGTGTCATATGAGATATTACATTTGATAGAGTTTTATGTGATCTAGGTTCTAGTATTAATCTAATGCATTTTTCTAGTTTCAGGAAACTAGAGATTAGTGAAGTGAAGCCTACAACCATATCCTTGCAGCTTGCAGATAGATCCATCAAGCATCCAAGGGGCATTATTGAAGATGTACTAGTTAAAGTGGATAAATTTATATTTTCGGCAGACTTTTTTGTGTTGGATATGAAAGAAGACAAGGAGATACCTCTCATCTTGGGACGACCATTTCTTGCTACTAGAAGAGCCTTAATTGATGTACAAGAGAGGAAGTTGATCATGAGGCTACAAGGCGAAGAAGTGACATTCAACGTCCTTGAGACTCAAAAATTTCCATCGAAGCAAGAATCATGTTTCAAAATTGACTTGGTGGATCAGTCGGCAATTAAAACTTCCAAGCTTAATGATTCTAAATCGCCATTTAAGCAATGCATGGTCAAGTCGGAGCAAATTGAAGATGAAGATCATAAACCAAAAGTTTACACAACATACCTAGACGAGCCACAATCGAGCAAATGTCTTCACAAGGGACAGATTTGTAAAGATTTAGGTATAAGATCATGCAAGACGAAAGTGGGGCTAAAAACGAATGCTAACCGAGAGATCACTTCAACACCTTCTCAGTTCAAGAATGCTGATGGAAAGTTAAAATATCGAAAAGGTGTCGATGAGAATGCTCGAATCCTAAAACGAAAGACTTGAGAAAGTCAAGCTTCTGACTATGAACAAGCGCTTCTTGAGAGGCAACCCAAGTGTTCTCATTTTGAGTTGTTTTACATTTGTTTATGTGTTATCTGACTTAGGAAATAACTTAATTTTGTTTTCCTTTTTGTGTTTCAAGGGAATGATCAAAATTTGGCATGAAGAAAATTTTTCCAGACTTTACCGTGGCAAAAGAATAATTTTGCCGTGGCAACGAATACATTGCCAAATGTGTGATTTTTGAATTTCTAGACTTTGCTGCAGCAAAAGAATATTTTCACCGCGGCAATGTACACATTGTGATCATTAAGGAATTCAAGAATTTCACCACGGCAAGGAATGATTTTTGCCGCGGCAATGTACACACTGTGATCATTAAGGAAATTCAAGAATTTCGCTACAGCAAGAAAAATACTTTGCCGCGGCATCGAGCAGTTCACACAAGAAATTCAAGAACTTTGCCGCGGCGAAGTTTACTCTTCGTGTTGGCGAAACCCATTTTCTATATAAACTCACGTCAGTCTCTCATTTTTCACGAGTGTCCAAAAAGCTTCCAAGAACAAAAGATTTTCACTTTCAATTCCTGAGCCTTCCCTGTCGATTTTGCACCGTACTCCACTCTAGAACTCCCATAAACATCCAATCACCTTGTCTTTTCAAGAATTTTGCAAATTATTGAAGAAAGTGAAGAAACCTTGGGTTTTCTAGAAATTGGGAATCTTGCAATTTGAGCAGAAATTGGCGAAATTCAAGGTGAATCCATGGTGGGGGAGGTACGAATTCTTGTTATCTAGCTTTTTATTCAATTAATTTCGGTTCTTTAAATGCTTTAGGTTTGAGAATTGATTGAATTGCTTAAGTTTGAATTGTTGCGAATTATGGAGTTTGAATTGTTTGTGTTGAGGAAGTTTAGGTGTGTACTTGTGAAGTTGGTTGAGTGCATTTGGAAGTTTGGTGATTTTGGGGTGTGATTATAGATTTTGAAAGTTAAAGGGTGAAGTGAGGAATTGAATTTTAGGTTGTGAGAAGTGTACAGTAGTGTTGGATTTGGGAGTTGAATCACTGATTTTGGTGGTAGATTGTAGAGAATTTTATTGAGAGAAAATGCCACTCAAAACTGTTCCAAAGAGTAAGGGCAAGCAGGTTGATAATAGGTTTGTGAACAATAAGGCTAGGCAGTGATATGGAGTAGCCATTCAGAGAAAGGACAAGGGTTTTGTTGCCGAGAGAGGGTTGACCAGTATCTGTGTGGAAGATTGGGTCAAAGGGAGAGATTAGGAAACCTTTCTGCTAGAACCTAAGTATCTAGCTGCAAAGCCCATTGTAAGAGAGTTTTACGCGAACTTCCTTGAGTGTGATCCCGGGCACGTGTATGTGAGGGATATAAAGGTGCCATTTAGTGCAAAGATCATCATTGAATTCTATGAGATTAATCCAATTGAACGTGATGAGTACGTATAATTCAAGGCTAAGGAGATTGATTATGATGAGATAATTAAGGTTATAGCAAAGCCATGTACCTCCTGGGATTTCTCGAAGAAGGGAAGGAGAAGCTTAAAAGGGACTAATTTGATAGTCATGGCTAGAATTTGGCAATATTTTATTTGTGCGAGGTTGATTCCAAACACACACTACAGTTCAGTGGATTTAGAGAGAGTAGTCTTACTTTATGCCATTGCCATTGGAATGAAGATGGATGTGAGTGAAATCATAATAGAGAATATAAGGCATGCAACCAAACTAGTGAGAGCTAGCTTTGCCTTCCCGCATCTCATCACTAAGATTTGTATGAAAGTTGGAGTCAAGAAGGCAGATGATGAACCACTTCGTCATCCTGCCCTAATCCTCGACCAAGTCTATTTTCATAAGCTCCAAGATAGATCTACCATTGGAGGAGCCAATTCAAGCTCAAAAAGACCAAGAACCACAACCACTACCACAACACCTGCTCCATCATCCATGACAAAAGAGTTGTTACAACAAATCCTGAAAAGATGGATAGAATGGAAAGACTTTAAGATTGGATGGTAGATCAGACCTTTACATTGTACGAGATGCAATACAAGCACTACTCCAATCTGGGCATTGATTTAGCCAATTTCCAATGGCAAGATTGGCAAGAGGAAGAGGAATATCAAATTCATAATGATGCCATGGATGAAGATGAATGAAGCTTGAGATGCATTTAGTTTTATTTTTGTACAAGTAAAACTTAGTTATTTCTTGTTTTTACGTTTACTTTGTTTAGCATTCTTAGGTTTTAGGTTTAGTTTGCAAGGGTTTGAGAATGAGATGTAATTTTTCCATAATCTATGAGGTTTTCTAACACATTTTGGACCCTTGAGTTTATGTGTGTTTTGACAGATATCACTGATGAAGAAGACGATGAAGGGATGTCCAAATTTGAGCTCACTTCGATCTTCACGGATTAATTAGGGGAGTCTCTCCTACCTTAAGCTCATTTTTTTTTTTACTCCTATGTTCATTATTGATTGACATTGAGGACAATGTCATTTTCTGTTTGGGGGGTAGAGAAAAATTTTGAAATTTTTTGCATGTTTTAATTGACTTTTATCTTTGTGTGTTTTATTGTTTTTGGGTTCTATGTTGATTTAGTTTGTTTGTGTTATTTTTGTTTCCTAGATGATTTGCATAAGTCCATGATGAGATTTTGATTGTTGGGATATTATTTATAGAAAATGCAAAGCATTGCTTCAAGTTTAGGTTGGTTGACTTGATTTAGCTTGAGGTTTGTTCAGTGGTTTAACCACCATTTTCATTCTTTCGGCATGCTTAGAAACATTTTATGTGGTTAGGTGAAGTCTTGATAATGTTTGTAGACTCTAGAACCTAGTTAAGAAGTGCTTGAGGCAAAATTCTAGGATTAGACATTGTTGAGGAAATGATTTAGGCATTTTTTGGAATGTTTGAGCCTTTCCAGTCGACCCATGAAAGAATCTTTCCCTAGTCACCCATTTGAGCCTTATGAGATTATCATAATTGTCCAATCCCTATACCCTAAACACTTTATCATACCCTTTAGGAGACTTATGGACCTAATGTATGACACAAAAGAGCTTGGAGAGGTGTGTGAATAATTGATGGACCAAAATTCTAAGTTTGGGGGTTGCAAAAAAGGCAGGAAAAAGGGGCAATAGACCTCAATGTTGTTGTCAATGTTAAGTTTAAAAAAAAAAAAAAAATTATTTAGTTCAATTCAAAATCAAAAATAAGAAATGCATAAGTTTGAAGGTTGAAAAATGGCTAACACTTTGATCGATGGTTGTAACACCCCACTTGAGTATGTAGTTAAGATTTGCTGTATTGCCTAAATGTTTATTGTTTTGCTCTCAATTGAGTTTGTATGTTGTTATTGTTGGTTTGGTTGAGTGTTTGCCTTGAATTTGGTTAAGACTTGGCGAATTTTTGGAGTTACAGTCTTCGTCGGGGCGAGGAACAGTCTTCGCCTCGGCGAAGTAGCCCCTGTATTTTTTCGCTGGGGCGAAGAAAGAAACTTTGCCGCGGCAAAGAGCCAGCTGAAAAGGTTGGTGAAGTTTCTAGAAAATTTTTCCATAGGGGCAGAGTGACCATTCTACCCCTAATTAGCAGGAAAAGTGGGGAGTGAAATGTAAGAAAATTTCATGGAGAATGTGTTAGAATTGGGGGTGTGAGTGCAATGAATTAAAGGACAAAGATAGAATTTCCAAGAAAGAATAAGGGCAAAATGGGAAAAGATGGTTATATTATGAGCTAATAAGGGATTAAGTTTAGCAAATCCTTCATTCTTCTTCTTCCACCGCCATTCCCTTTCACCATTTTCTCTCAACTCTTCATTCAATTTTTCAAGGATTTTAGAGGGCTTTTTGAGTAGTTTAGGTAGAAAGTTAATTTAAAGCATCCTAAGGTAAGGATTCTTGCGTTAGATGTGAAATTTCCTTTATAGATATGTTTAGTCTTATAGTATTGTTGTTCAAAGTTGTAGAGAAAAGTCAAGTTACCAAGGGAAAAGAGAAGTACTAGTGGAGTCACTCCATCACAAGGTAAGTAAATCCAACCTAAGTTAAGTTTTAAGAACTCTTTTGAGTAAAAGATTTCTTTATGCATGTATGTATTATGCTTGTTGAGAGATTGAGATGTTATGAGTATCTAGTGGAGTCACTCCCTCACAAGGTACATTAATGAGCATGAGTCATTCATATGCATTAATTGTGCATTGGAGAAATAGCTTGAGAAAGAGTAGAGAATTTTTGAGAAGTAACTACTCTAAGAGTAAAGAGAAAGAGAGAGTGAGCACTAGAGAATAAAGAGAAAGTAATGCTAAAGAAGAGAATATAGTAGGTTGTGCGATGGGGAACTCGTGAGTAATAGGTAGAGTATTCCCGCATGTGCGCCGCAAAGAGAGAGCGGCCTGAGTATGAGAGAGAAAAGTGGTGTGGCCCGTGAGAGTGCATGCAGATGAGGGCTATACTCGAGAGTACCCGAGAGAGAGAAAATATACACTCACATGGCCAAGGGTTCCGAATCCATGCATAACCAAGTCTTATCGACTGGGAATGAGTAGAAGTCACGAAGAGCGGGAGCAAGTCATGGAAAGCGGGAGCGAGTCTCGGCCGTGCCTCCGGTAATGGGGCTGTGACATACGAGAGAGAGTTAGTCGAAAAGAGTTATAAGAAAGAGAAACATAAAGACAAAATAGAGAAAGTTGTAAAAGAGAGAGTAAATGAAAATAGAGCAATTGTAAGGAAAGAATTGAAGAGAAAGAGAGTAACGGGGATAGAGGAGTAGAGGGTTTACTTACTGAGCATTATTTGTGCTCACCCCGTTGTTTTTCTATGTTTTTGCAGGATCTGGGTGAGGACGGGGTCGAATGGACGTCAGCAAGCGAGGAGAAATAGCTACACTGTCCACCATGTATTGATGATTTTTGTATATGATACTAGTTTTGTATAAAGAATGTATATATTTAATAAAAGAAAATTTTGGGCCCACCTATTTATGTT